AGAACACATATTTAGAGCGCTGTACTTTGCTTTTATGTATCCTATTCAAGAGTAATAAACTTAGCACGGCATTTATTTTGTGTTGTTACAACTGCTGAAAAATTTACACTTTAAAAGAATATAAACCGGAATATAGGTTTTCTGCTACTATAATCTAGTATCATAAACTCATTTTCAGAATTATCTGTTCATCAATATATTGATAAATAATAAAATTACATGACGAAAATAAATCAAATACAAATGAATTTAAATTATTAATTGTGAAATCATATTCATTAAGACGTAAAATGATAACTGATGGAAAAAAACGCTATGCTGAATTATTGGAACAAATGCCATTTATGGCTTTACCAAATTATGTAAGAAAACTGTTTTTTTTTGTCAATAATACTTTCTACAAAATACAGATACTATGCAAACATTTGAACTATATAGAATTCAGTTCAACAAAGATTACATAAAGCTTATTTAGTAACAGACAAAAACGAGTGAGATAATTGGCAGTGAAACCTTTTTTACAACCAGATAAACACTATTTTTTTCTTTCATAAAATAGTATCAAGTTTTAGAAAATATTTCTTTATAAATCAATACGACATGCTTTACTTTTCATAGATTAGTTACGTATTGAATTCGAATTACTTGAAAAAAACTCAATGGATGATGCTATTGGGTATTTGAATGCATTTATGCAAATCACTTGTTTAATATTTAATAAGTCGCATCAAGTATGTGTGAAAACAACAGAGATCTACTTTAGATATGTAAAAAACGATTATATCAGATGTATTCATTTTGTTTTTAACTATGTTTTACCTGTGTTGTCACAACCTGTATTATCGAACAGTGAAAACCGCAGGTCTCTGTGTCATTTCTATCAAAAGTTATTCAAAGAAGTAAGACCGGCATCGTATTTTGAAACAGACAGTAGTATAATGGATGATATTTTTCTCTTTTTCCTATGCTGTTTCCGTGTAGACCAACGTGATCTCTTTCTCTGTGATACAAGCTGATCTGCTCAGCTCACCTTAAGAGGATAATCTTTTTGTTTTTTTACCAGTGATACAACACATAAAATGTATTGATGTAATCTATGGCTAATATGCGCTTAACGATACCATATTCGTAAAACGTGAAAACACCCACTAACACCCAAAAGATCCCCGAAATTAAAATGTGGAACAGCCAATCGATGCAGCTCGTCGTGCTGAGTATACTGACACCCACTAAACAATCATTAATAGCTGAGCTTTTAATTTCAGCCTTTTTTAAAAATAAACACCGACGTTGATCTACATGAATTTCTGAGCCTACTGGTACGGTGTTTGATCGAAGAAAACGTTATGGCGGTTTTTGAAATAAGTTTCGAAAAAGTTTATTGTTTTCTCATATCGTATCTATACGACATGAGAAAACAATAAACTTCTGAGGCCTTCTGGGGAACCGATTAACAAAAATATCCTTTTTGATTTTTTTCGATCTTATAATCACATTTAGCGGTCAACATTAACCATTAGACCTGTAACAGTTCCAGCTCATAAGTTCAGCTCATTTGAGCGAAAGAACTGTTGAACAGTTCTTTTGAAAGGAGCTGATATGTTTAAACAGCTCTTTTCAAAGGAGCTGATATGTTTAAACAGCTCTTTTGAAAGGAACTGATATGTTTGTAGAGTTCTCTTGAAAGGAACTGAGCTTGATTTTCTCACAGAGAACTAGAATGGCGAGCAGAGATGTGATAAAGTTAGACAAATCTCGTACAGAAAATGTAAATAGAAAACTTTCGAATTTGTATAACGAGAGCTGCCTTCGTGGCGGAGCTAAAGTTGGGCCGATGAAGAATATGTTCACAATGTTTGTCAGGTATTAACAGGTTGGTATCAGGATATTAATGGTCCATCAAATTCAGTTGTTCCGAACAACTAGTTTTGATGGACCATTGGTATCCTTGTTCCCTTGGAACACGAATATGTAAGTAAATCATTGTTTTTGTTACTGAACTAACTCAGAAAGTACACGTTATCTATTTCAGACAAGAGCTAATACGTCATCGCATTTATTGAAAAACAAAGATCGCTCTATTGCCACGCTATAGAAAAATTAAGTCTGGATTATCCCAATCAGAAATATTTATTGTATGTTGGTTTAATGAGTCATTACATCGAGCAAGATTACGATTGTCCAGATGATGATGAATTTACACATACTGAGACAAATATTGAAAATGTAATTCTTCTTAGTGGAACAGATGATAATTATTTTCAATAACTCTGTAAATCATTCCATATGCATTATAGAAGAACGATTTCATTTGATAAAACAGAATTTATGGCTGATAAAGTAATATGTGAATCACTAGAACCAGACAAAACAAACAGAAGAGAAATGGATAAATCTTTTATGTTTAGTCTTCTTATCGTCAAGCAGTGCTGTTTTGGGCTGCTCTTTTGGCTTTATGTTATTTTACAGTCTATTTATTTTTGCTCTTTATATAAATAAAAAAAGAATTGTTTCTCTTTTTTTATCTTGTCACTCTACATTTTCACTATACCATTGTTCAGTGTTGAAACATTGTCCATGTTTCACCGGCACTGACTAACGTCTATGTAATGTATAGGTCTTCTAGAGAGATAGAGAGAGATAGTAAAAAGAAATAAGAGAGATTTTTTATCTTGTCACTCTCTACATTATCTCGGCGAGAGTAGCTTAGCAAGGGAATAGATTAAGAAAAATAATTGTTTCTATTTCTCCTTCTATGTGCACAATTTTTCGTTCTCTCGCCGACGTTCGTCGTGCACGACATACCACACACAGAATATTTATATATATATGTATGTATATATACACATGCGTGGACACACACATACTACATCATCACAGAGAAGACCGTATTGCGAGTAAAAGCATGCCGAGACCGCCATCACAAAGCACAACCAATCGTCACGACAGAAATCCAGTCTCGAAGGATGCATTCGACAAAACCAGTCGATCTATGCCAAGAGCAAATAACTCTACTGATGGACGCAAAAGAGCAGCACAAGTATTGACTATTGTGAATAAGCAACAAATGAGTGACATTAGCGTCGACGAAGCTGATGAACCTCAGTTGGCTAAACGACAACGAGTGTCTTCAGTGCACATACATGCAGAGAAACTATCGGTAAACGAATATCGTTGTCAACTTTGTTCAAAGGTAAGATGAGGACATTTAATCTCTTTGTTCAATCATATATCTCGTTTTATTATTGTTAAAGATCATTCGATGTGGCGTAGGAACCAATTCTAACATCAAGCGGCACCTTGCTAACATCCATGGACTTGTTCATTTTAAATCCAAAAGCCATTCATCACCTTTCGATTTTGATCCGTCTCGGAAGAAAAAATTCAACGAAGCGGCCATTCAGTGCATCATTCGCGACGGTCGCCCATTCAATGAATTCCGCCGACCTGGCATGGCTGCCTTTTTGTCAGTCGTGATACCTGGTTACTTCGGTCCACATGAACGCACTGTTCAACGTAATATTGTACAGTGGTACAGTTCGAAAATGTTTGAATTACGTGAGCAACTTCACCAGGTTGAGAGTGTCGCAATTACAACGGACTTGTGGAAGCGACCGAAAAAACACCATTATCTCTGCGTGACAGTACATTATACCGATACGAATTTTGAAATTGTTTCAACGGTATTGAGCTTCCGTCGATTTCATGGTAGACATTTGTCCCGCCGAATACGAAATCATCTAATTCGACTGATCAAAAAGTGAGTCAACCACCATCCATAAAAGTACCTTTGGATATACTCTGATTTCTATCTACATAATCGAACTCGTTCATTGAATCCGTCATTCTTCCATACTTTTTCGTTGCACTAGGTTCGATCTTGAATCGAAGATCTATTCAACTGTCACAGCCAACGGAAGTGACATTCGAATAGCCACTCAACAAGGAAAGACATTCGGTATTAGATTGCATTGCCTGGCGCATGGATTGAACTTGACGATTCAAAATGGTCTCGGACTCTGGGTGAAATCGAAAGAGGAAAATGACTCATCACCCAAGACAAATAGGTACAATATACAATCTTTTAAAATAAAGTGGTAGAAGGCTGCAATCATATCTAGCGTTGCTCTAGTCAAAACAAAATTGCAGAAGATATAGATAAAAAGTTGAAGTCAGGATTTTTTCTGTTGATCTTTCCTCTTGATCTTTCCTCTTGTAAAAGAAATACATAAACAATACGTCAAAGTAATCGAAGTTGTGCATTTGAAAAAAACGCGATAAAAACCTGTTTTAGTCTGAGAATGGGAGATGATCTCAGCTTTGAAGGTTGTTTAAAATAGAAAATCAACATTTTTGAAACGCTATATTCTTGTGTGAGTATGTCATTTAAAAAATGGCTTCTCCGTTTGGGAAGTATGTCAAAAGAATAAATGAAACATTCAAACATTAAAGGACAGCCGCACTTTAGTTTCGAGAAGCCAGAGGAATATCTTTACGACTTATGATGAAAATAAATGATGCCTGCCACATGCAAGATCTACACTTACAATATTGACTGCTATTCTATTCTACATAACAATGAACTCATCAATGAAAGCTAGGAATATCCTTGCAAAATGTAAATGGAATTTTCTCTAGTATAAAGCAAAAAAGTTTGTAGTAAATTCTGTCAGCTGATTTTCCGAATTCCAATGCGAATCTCATCGAACCGGAGAAAAACTCGATTTGTTTCAAACTTTTTCGAATAAAACTTCTGATCTTTAACCGACATTATATGTTGCCTTGCATAGCTCATTCTTTTCCTGTCAAGTCAAGTTCTACAACTTTAATATCTTGCCAACTGAGTGTGGGTGAAATCTAAATACGAGCACTGGAGACTGAAATGTATAACAACTATTACAAACCGAGAACATTACATCTGGTTATATGATATCTTCTCAGCGTGATCATAAAAATTTGATTTGACGTGAGATCAATTTTTTCTTTCTACCGTTTTAGTGATCCATCGTCCTCTTTGATCATTTCTGACAAAGAGGAAGAGTCGATTCAAGTGTAAACGACAATATCTATGGGTAAAATTTATATCATTCGAAGTGGTGCCACGTCAGGAATCGTTTCGTGCAGGAATTATCGTTTAAAATCATCGATGAATCGTTAAGTTAAGAGATAAATTTTACAGTTAATTTATAATTTTTATTTTCAAAAGAAAAACTTACGAACAGAAAAAAAACAAAGTGCAATGCGTGCGTGCCTGTATTATTCTGTTAGAAGTCAACCGTTGAAAGTATACGGAATGAAGTATTCAACATGAGGACGTTTATAGTTGGAATAGATTTCTAGTACAGGTAACACCCGTAAACCCGTAACACCTCTGTATTTGGGTTCTGGTCTTTTCATCGCACATTTTCGATATTTTGATTCTAACGTGGGTAAACAAAAAACTTCATGAAGATCTATTGTTGAACAGTGAAATAAACAAAAAATCATTCTTAAGCATCTACTATAAACAGCATTTATACGCTTTTTTGTTGTAATACAGAATAAATAATATGTGGTTGCAAATAAGTACAAATGGGGTCGTATATATGAGTTGAAAAACTTCAATTCAAGAGAAAAGAAAGAAGGAAATTATCGATAGACATATTTTAGAATAACATAGAACTTCTCAACTTAATGAATTGAAAATCAAGTATGTATGTAACTAACGTTTAGTTTGTCGTTTAGAAGAAAACCGAGATTTTTAAAGATTTTTGGTTGTTTAAGTATTTTAGATTATTTTTAATTGCGGACATTGAACCGTTCTGTGGTAGGCGACTATCTCCGTTTTTTTATGTTAGCTGGACGATGCCAATCGTCTGTATACAACTTCAGACGCGTCATATCTCCATTTATGAGCTTTTCTGTTTCCTCACCTGATCTAGAAATTTAAGAATTAAATTGGGGGTAGATGTTGGATAGATCGTCAACATATAAATGTAAATTATTGGAACTTTGAAAAACGTATGGCAGAGCAAAATGTGAAACAATATACGCTGATGACTAAAGCAGCTGCCATGTGGAGCTCTTTCTTAAATACTGATTTCCTCCGACAACAAGGAATTGCAATCAATCACGACTTTTTGATTGATGAACTACTTTACAGTCCAGGACAGATATGCATGCGGACAAGTCAAACGATCTAGTTTTAACGGCAGCGCTTGATGCCATAATATCTGCTGTTAAAAATTTGCCTACATTTCAAGCAAATAATAACGCAAATCCCAACCCATCTGCTCTTAGAAGTCAGTGCACATCTGCTCTACCAGGTGCTGTTTCTCTCGATTGACCGACATTTC